GAGCGGGACCGAGGGGGACCGAGCGGGACCGAGGGGGACAGAGCGGGACCGAGCGGGACCGAGGGGGACCGAGGGGGACCGGGCGGGAACAGCCGCACTCCCCCGCAGACGGGCAGGGCCTCCATTCCGCAGGCTTCCCCTGGAGCGGACCGAAGCTGAGGACGAGAAGCCGCCCAGAGCCGGGCTGGGAAGCCCTCGGGGTGGAGCAAAGCTCCAGGAGAGGAGCGGGGTTGCCCCATCCTGTGTTAGCCGCTTCCGTCCCCGGGGCCCCGGCTGCGGGTGTCACCCGGCTCCAGACAGCGGGCACCGCTCCTCCGGAGCCGGAACACGGGCAGAAGGGCAGGTGAGGGGCGGGGCACAGAGAACACTGCTGGGTCCCTTGACTGTGGCTGAACTGGAGCAGGGGAGGAAAGATTAAGATTCCAGTTGTCAATCCACCCTCAGGACACGCCCACAGCCTTCCTGTCAGTCACCGCCCAGGACACGCCCACAGCCTTCCTGTCAATCATCCCTCAGGACCTGCCTACAGCCTTCCTGTCAATCATCCCCTCAGGACCTGCCCACAGCCTTCCTGTCAGTCATCGTTTAGGACACGCCCACAGCCTTCCTGTCAGTCGTCGTTTAGGACACGCCCACAGCCTTCCTGTCAGTCATCGCTCAGGACACGCCCACAGCTTTCCTGTCAATCACTCAGGACACGCCCACAGCTTTCCTGTCTATCACTCAGGACACACCCACAGCCCCTATCAATCATCGCTCAGAACACGCCCAGGAAAATAGCTACTCAGCATCTAGCACTCTACGCACCGAGCATCCAGCACTCTCCCCAGAGTCATCAGTACTCTACCCACTGAGCAGCGAGCACTCAGTTGCCTCCGGTGCGGGAACCTGGGTTTTCCCCCTCTCCCTGCACCTCCCCACCCCCGTCACTTCCCCAGCTCCGTCGCCGCCCCACCCTCCTCCTATTATTATTATTATTTTCATTTTTTTCTCCCTTTCTTCTTTTCCGAGTCGTTATTTTTATTCCTCTTTTAACGAGCGCTCCCCACGCAGCCCTCACTTTCGGCCCGCCCCTCCCCCTCCCTCCCATCCACGCAGCCCCCCTAAACTCTGCCCACAATCCTCTGCGCCTCCTTTTCTTCTTTAACTCCTGGGAGAAACTGAGTCTATTATTTGGGGTCGGGGAAGGTGCGGATGATGCCAGTCGCGGGGAGGTAACTATCCGCAGAGGCCAGGCTTGGGGGTGGCGGCTCCCAGCATGCTCGGCGCCTTGCCCGAGTGTCAGGTGGGATGTTGAGGGAGTGTTTGCTTGGTTGCTCGGGTCCGTCCGCAGTCGGCGCGCGACCCCTGCCGCTCCCCGGAGGGTTTGCACCCGGCCCTGATTCTGTCTGAGGCTAGGGAGTTGGGGGTGGGGTGGGAAATGTGGGTGCTTGGCTTGGTACTATCAGTGGGGTGAGTGCTGGGTGCTTAGTACTCACTACAGTGTTTAGTGTCTAGCAGAAAGACCGTGGCAGTGGGTGCTGAGTGCTTAGTGCTTATTTACAAAGATCGTGGCAGTGGTGATGGGGCATGGAGAGAGGTGGCCCGGGGTGTGACTTGGTGTTTCTAATGACGTCACTGTGTCAAACATGTGGGTCTCCGATGTAGAAAAGGGGCTATGAGTGCTTGGCTTGGTACTATCAGCGGGTGGATGCTGAGTACTTAGTGCTTAGTAGGGAGACCTTGGGAGTGGCTCGCATAGGATGATGGGTGAAGGTGAGAATTGGCCTGCGGTGGGCCGAGGTGTCTCTCGTGATGTAACTGCATAAATCACGTGGGTGCTGAGTTTAGTGCTCATTGCAGTGTTCAGTACTTAGCAGAAAGACCGTGGCAGTGGGTGCTCAGTGCTCAGTGCTCAGTGCTTATTTACAAAGGCCTTGTCAGTGGGTCGCATAGGATGATGGGAGATGGTAAGGGTGAGAGGTGACTTGAGGGGGGGGACTTCGTGTCTCATGACGTCATTACATCAATCTCGTGGGTCTAGGACCTAGGGCAGGGGCTGTGGGTGCTTGGCTCCTTACTGTCAGCCGGGTTGGTGCTGAGTGCTTAGTGCTTAGTGGGAAGACCGTGGCATGTGCTGAGTAGTTAGTACAAAGACCATGGCGGTGCTGAGTGCTTAGTACAAAGACCATGGCAGTGGTTGCTGGGTGCGCGTGTTGTACCCAGAGTCCCCCAAAGACCACTAAGAGACCAAATCCGAGGCAAAGCAGAGTTTTTATTTCGAGGTAACCCGGGGGCTCCCCGGGCGTCTGACGCAGCAGCAGAGCAGGGGAGACCCCAAGGAGCCAGGGGGCGGGATCTTTACAGGGTAAAGTTGGGGGTCACAGAGGGCATGGGAACTGACTCGGGATTGGTTTATGCGAGTGTCAATCATGTTAGTGACTTTTCATTGGCTGGGTCAGTTGGGGGTCACAGTTATTCTAAGGCAGGCCTGGACAAGTCCCAGACTGACCTTGGGCTGTCCCGGGCCGGCCCAGCAGTACTGCCCGGGGCTGCTCAGTGACTGTCTCCCTGTCCCTGCTGGCTGGGGCATCAGTGATTGTCTTTTGTTCACGGCCCTCCCAGAATTGCTCAAGGCTCAGGGACCTGGAATTGAGGCCTGATCTCCGGGAGAAGACTGAGCAGCCTGTTCTGGCCTCTGCCTGGTCCTTTCCCTTTCTACTCTGTGGAACGACCGTGGCAGTGCCGCGCATAGGGTGACGGGCGATGACGGTGAGAGGTGGCGGGGTGTGACTTGGTGTCGCTCATGACCTCATTTATTCTGTCAATCAGGTGGGTCTAGACAGCTAAGATGCCAGACAGAATGAACTATCGGGAGACAGTGGTTTTATTCCCCTTTCAAAAAATGTAGGTTCTCTGGGGAATTTTTTTCTTATTGCATTCTACCTTTGAAGAATGTCTTTGTCTTAAAAATAAAATGTAGCACATTAAGTGGCCTTTGTATTGAATCGTTTTCTGAGTGTGATAATTCTAATGCTGTGCAGGTAGATGTGTAACTCATCACTCTAGGAGTAGGGGTTGGCTGTAACTTTCTAAGGACAGCTCTGAATTTTGAGTTTACAGATATTCATGCGGTTCTTTTTCCCCACTTCAACCTGACAGCCTGGTGTCATGGCATGTACATCTGTCTGTTCTTCTCAAGGTTTGTCCTCTGTAATCCAGTCATGAAATACAGTAGTGTTTTTAGTCTGATCTTCCACTTGTTTCCTCTGTGTCCTTTGGGGAATATCTTTATCATATTTCAAAATATGGGTTTGTTAGTTTATCCTTTGCCAAGTGCCTTGGAAAAGCTAATCGTTGACTTCTTTTCCTTCCTTCCTTCCTTCCTTCCTTCCTTCCTTCCTTCCTTCCTTCCTTCCTTCTTTCCTTCCTTCCAAATGTGGTATTGCTGTATGTAGCCCAGGTTGTCCTCTGTTAGGGTCCATGAGAAGTCCCATAAAAGGCCACCAGTCACACATGCCATCAACAAGAACATTTATTAAAAATTACCACCGGTTGTGATGGCACATGCTTGTAGGATTTGCTGAAGGAGGTGGAGGCAGGAGGATCGTGAGTTTGAGGCCAGCCTGGGCTACACATTAATAGAATAAAAACAAACAAAATGAGCCAGGCAGTGGTGGTGCACACATTTAGTCTCAGCACTTGGGAGGCAGAGGCAGGTGGATCTCTGTGAGGGTTCAAGGCCAGCCTGGTCTACACAGTGAGATCCAGGACAGGATCCAAAGCTACAGAGAGAAACCCTATCTTGAAGAAAACAAAATTACCAACATGGTTAGACGTAACCATCTGACAAAGTGGCAAACGGTGGCCCTGAGAGAAGCATACCAGCCCCTTTTAAGCAGGGTTAGGGGAATTCCAGGGAGGAGAGACCAGTCTGGGGGCTGATTGGTGGGTTTAAACAAAAATTTTACCAGTTGTTATAGGATTGGTGGTAGGAGGCTTTAGTGGTTAGGAACTTTCCAGCTGCAGGGTAGGAAAAGCTATTTTTAGCTAGCAGAAAGCTGTGGGGCACCTGGGGATAGGTTGTCCCTGAGTTGTGGTTTTCCTGAGAACAGCTCGCTCAGCTCCAGGAAACCAAAACTAAAGCCTGGTCGCTGGCAAGGGTACTAGAAGCCTGTCCCCCAGAGCGGAGGGGTCCGTGCTGGGGTTTGAGAGGCCATCCGTCCCACGGCACACAGTCCAGCCTCGAGATGCAGGCAGCGTTGGGTGGGTGCGTGGCTGGGTGGCCGGGTGGCCTGGTGGCACTAAGAGAATAAATAACAAAATTATTTGTGACTCATCAGGAATAAATTCAGCAGTTTTAATATGTAAAATAACTTTTTCTGCACATTGAGAGTCAGTAACTATGTTAAGAGATTCTGTAAAATCCACTAATACCATCAGAATAGCATATGATTCTGACTTTTGGACAGAATTAGAAGGGCTTTGAGCCACTTTGCTTAAATTTCCTGATTTATAACCTACCTTTTCTGATTTGTTTACATAAGTATAAAATGTAGGGGCTCCAGAAATTGGTGTTCCCCATACAATATAGGAAAAAATCCAGTTAGTTCTCTTTATAAATTGAATTCTCTTGCTTTTAGGATATTTGTTGTTAAGCTCTCCAGAAAATTACTGCAAGCTCATTGTCATGGTTCACTTTCTGCTCATAGTTTGTCTATTTCATCACTAGTAAAAGGTGCTACAATTTCTGCTGTGCCTATTCCTCCTAATTGATGAAGTCTCAATTTAAAATCAAATCGGAAATCTTTCCCACATGTCTTTAATTTCTTACTCTATGTGGTAGAAATATCCATTTAATATAATATCTTCTCTCTGCATTAAAATCACTGTAGGGGAATGCATAGAGGATAATATAATCAGAATTCAGTTAAGCTCTGGATCCACATGATCCACATGTGCATCCTTTAATTT